GGAGGGTGCTTTTCTCCCAGAAGGATTGGAGTTGTTTTTGCTTTGAACCAGAGACTTAAATGACTTCAAGGTCTCAATGGTCCAGACTCAAGGGAGGGGTCCCAAGCTCTCTGTAATCTTTTATTTGATTGAGCATTTCTCTTGTTTTTTTCTCTACATTCCTTCTTATCATACTCATAGTTACATTTTTAAAGCGAGAGTTTTTTTTTTATTACTGTGTGGTACTTTTTGTTGCAGACATTTTTTGTTTCTTCAAAACTTGCTCTACATTGGTTATTGACTAGACTTTCAGAAAGAAAAGAAAGCACTGCCGTAAAATTGTAGGTATTTTGGTGTATAAAAATGCAAAAAGGAAAAGAGGTCTGTTTTTAAAGTAAAAAGCTTGGAGAATGTGAGATATTTTCATGGAAAGGAAGAAGCAAAAAGAGCTATCATGTCACACATTGTAATTAACTTTAAAGCAAAATGAATTTTACATGAGTCTCATTTTATTATTGTGTAAAGATCCTAAGGAAACCCTCTATTTTAAATGTGATCAAGGCTCTCATTTTAGTTGTTGAAAGATTCAGTTTTCCCACATTACTGTGTGAAATTGATTGAATTTTGAAGTCTTTAAAACAACCAAGTTTTATTTTTCTTTCCTCATGTGCATTACCTTTGAAACTTCAAGGACTTATTATAGCCTTATGAGTTGGTGGCAGTAATTTACATTAGCCTATCTTTAAAGTAAGTGGAAATTTGGAGAATAGTCTTCTGTTTGGATCATGTTCCTCTAGTAAATGTTAGCTGGGCTGCAGTAAGGGTCATAGAATGGGATGGTGAGAGCCAAATGAGGACAAGTGCAATCTTGTAAAAAGTACTGAATAAAAGTATTTGAAAACTTTAGTGGGAAACTTTAATAATTTCTTTTAGTATTTTCTCAGAGTTTTATAACACCTGGGAGATGGCTCTTTTCTCCTTTGAATTATTGGCTTTTTTAATGAAATTATTTTCATAAATTTATATATTTTTCAGAAATTTTTAGGGGGTCACTTTGGGTCCAGCTTAGAGCTGGGCATGTGGCAGTGAAACTCAGGAGAGAGATGAAGGCTCAAAGCATTGTTTGGAAAGAGCTGCGTGGGGATAATGTTGCAGGTGCTGAGGATTATGGCAGGTGGGGTGGGGAAGAGAAACATGTGGGTTGAGATGTGGACGTTGTTGAGGAAATATATTAATGTCTTATGTAAACAAGGTCCTGTGATCAAGTAACATTTGGAAATGTAGAGTTAAAGCAAAGTTAAATAGGCTTCCTTATAGCATGACCTCTGAGAAACTTCAGAGTACCTGCTGGCACTGTGACTTTATAAGAGGAGGAGAAAAGGAAACCAATATTATTTGACCATAGCCTCTTGTAGGAATAATGTTCGTTAGAAATATTTTAGGGAGAACTAGTTTGCTGTGATTTTTGCATTGTTTCTCCGTATTAGATGGGAGGGCTCCTTACTGGTTTGGTTTCTAATGTGGCCTATTGCTTCCCTGTCCTGCTTCAATTTCCCAGTGACCTAGCACAGTCACTGTAGAGCATTCTAGATGCTCATAGTCCCCCCAAAAAGGAGCTCCTTGGCCTGGATGTGCCCTGTGTTCCATGACCCAGGCCCAGAGCTCAAGGGTGTGAACTCAGACTTCGCACGGTCTCTCTGTGTAGGTTTATAGAGGCATTGTTCATGCTAATGCCAGTTTGGGGGTACTCGCTTCCTCTGTGAGGTACGAAGCCTGATCCTCACACACATCCTGAGTGGCTATGGTGATGAAAATTTAGCAGTTCTTTCATGTTACTGTCTGATTCTTGTTAGATTGATGATCCTTGATAAACTTCTCATTTACACATGTGTGCACACATTATGGTCCAATGGTGAATTATTTCAGTAAACCAGACAGAGACAGGGCAAATAGACACACAGAACAGGGCATGCCTCGAATGCACTGGGTTATCGGGGTGAAGGGAAATGGGGACCAGGGGGAAATATTTGCTCAGTGGACGTCAGGTGAGTTGCAAAGACTGCTCAAACACCTGTTGGACATTGTATGGAAGAGCTTTATTCGAGGGGTGGAATCTGGGAAGAGGCATTTGTCTGTGAACTTGTGTTGGTGTATAGACTTTCTGAAGAGACTTGATGGCTCTAAGCTTTGAGTGGTTTGGCAGATTCCAGCCTGTCATTGTGTTGCTTGTTTGTAGCTGGTGTCTTTCTGGAGACTACTTTTACACTAAATCAATTCTGTCCCCAACCCTTCTAATAAAAGTGAAGCAACTTTTATTAGAAGCTTTGCCAGTGTTTTTGTAGGGTGACTGTATGCCTGGGTGGGAGGAATGTAGCAGTTTTATATGTTTGCCTGTCATAAACTTTAGCTCCTTGGATCTTTGTTGATTTTTAGTGCTGAGAGAAGAGGATGGTATATCGCATTTTAACATGATCAGAACTGAAAGCATAGAATTTCTAAGTGAAGGCCTAGAGTCAGATAGATTCAGGCTTATCTTTGCCACCCACTGCTCTAGGAGTACTCGGTTTTCCATTTGTTCATTTGGGTATGACATTGCTTATGTTACAGGATTATTTTGAGTAGATGTAGTGTACATGTATATGCAGTATAATGAGATAGACTGTGGTGTCATACTTTTCCCAAGTGACAAATGAGGTGTCCTCCTTGTCGGAATCTCTGAAGGAGACCTGGTGCTCTTTAGAGTTTGAGTAGAACCTGTCCTTCTAGGCAGCTAGCGAGTTCAGTCAGTAGTAGAGAGCAGACTTTGGAGAAGGAATTTGGCAACACTAGGATTTATTCTCAGCCCCTTGTTATACCTGTTATTCTTAATATTTTAATAACCTCTTTTATTGAAATTATGTGACTTTATTTTAGCAAAAGAAATTAAGTTTTAACATCATGGCAACCTTGGCCCTTCCCAGAAGAAACTAATGCCAACATATTATTAATATTTGCCCATTAAGGGGAAGAATTTCAGTAGTGAATTTCATAGGACATTTTTTTTTTTCCTATCACTTTATCACGTGTTTGACTTTTGTTTCCAGTAAGATTTACTGGAGAATAGTGGAAACATTTATTTTGTCAGTTCTAAGATATAAGAAGCTTTATTTTCCAAAGATTTTTATGTCCTTTAGCCTGTTTAGTCCTCTGAGCAGCTCTGGGTGGGTACCTCATGCTTTCACAAAGAAAGAATGGGAGCTCTGGAAATCGCAGTGATTTTTGCCCTCGGCAGTGGCAGAGCTGGAGCCATGATCTGGGTCATCTGCCATCACTCTTTCTTCTCTTCCCTCATCCCTTTAGACCCACAGGTCTAGTTATATCAAGGGATTCAGCCTAAGTTATTTCTGAAAGGTAACATCAGTCAGAAACAAAGATGAGACTTCTTCAAATGTAGGAATTTCAGAAGAATAGTTTGTTCCTAAATTTGCAAGCTCATTCAATTTAAAAATGATTCCTATAATATGGTGCTCATTTATTACTTCAGATTCATTGCCTCAATAATGACTTTTAAATAGGAGGACTCTATTATTAGAGTGATTGGACTGAAGTCTGATTGGACTAGGGTTAAGAGATTGCATCACTATAAATAGAGTTAGATAAAGTATTTTACATAATTTGAACTTTCATGAGGTCTCATAAGTTGGGACCTAGGATCTTTTCTAAAAGGATACTTAACTTTGAACAATTTCCAGATAGCAAGCTTCCTGCTGTGGGTTTTAAGTTATAGAATGGCTGTCTTGGGGAGTTTTGGAATTACATGATTTCCCCCGATACTTTTCAGTTATATTACCTGAGGCAGAGCTTCATTAACTGCCCCATCAACAATTTTCCTGACCCAAAAGCACAGTAAGTATGATCAGTGCATTGATTATATTATCATCTAAAGACTATAATGAAAACAGAACAATAAGGAAAATACTAGCCATGGTTATCTGTGAGGCCTTGGCATAATTACCAGGGAGGGCCTTTTTGGTATACATAAATAAATTTAATGTCCGTCTTTACTAGTATCATGAGGAGGTTGAACTGGATTTAAAGACACTGCCATTTCATCGTGATTACAAAAAAAGTGGGTCCTATCACTGATATTTAGTATTATGAGAAAAGTTTACGAGAAAAATAGTAAAAATTGTAAACAGTTGTGAATTAGAGTGCATTAATAAGTGATTGGTAAGTTTTAATAAAACTAGAATCTTTTCCTATCATTTTAACTTTTATCCCAGTGATTCCACTTTTTCTGTCTCTGTTACCAGCCATGTTGTGTTATTGTTATAAAACTACATTATTCCAACAATTTTACCAAAGTTTGGATAAATATTTTTAGCTGTTATTCTTTGTTTAAAATTCCCTGTCCGCATAAGAGGTTGATATTTAGTTGAAGAAGCAGTAAAAGCACAATGATCTGTGACTTAGAATAGTGCTAAGGATTTTTCCAAAATTAGAGTTGGGTTTTCAGGAAACGATGTATCACATGCCAGAATTGAATGGGGCTGAAAGAGGAATGACAGAAGATACATTTTTTAGTGGTATCCTGATATGATGTCTGATGTTTAATGACTTAAGTAATGTGCAAATAAACAAGCTAAAAACCAGAAAACCTCCCAAACTAATTGGTGTTCCAAAGATGGAAAGCATGCTGCAGATCATATGCTTTGAATCAATGATGTTTTATTTTTTACTAACAGCTGATGGGAGTAGGTCCTTAATTCTCTGTCGTTTGGCATAATTTTATACTAATATTTATATAGAACCACATTTTGCTGGTATTAATCTTGGATAATTAATCATGGATCAGTATAAATATATATATGTGCGTGTGTATGTGCCTTGGATACTTATTGCTTTATTTTTTACATTTCTAAGCGAGTTAAAATATACAGTATAATAATTCTGGCAGATGATGGTTTGATCAGTAAATGTCACCTTTATGAGTTCATTAATGTTTGTCTTTTTTGCCCCTTCTCTCTCTCCCCTGTTTCTAGGGTGTGGATGAGTGGAACATAGCTCGCCTGGACACGGTCTTGGATGTGGTTGAGGAAGAGTGTGGTATTTCTATTGAGGGTGTAAACACCCCTTATCTGTATTTTGGCATGTGGAAAACCACATTTGCATGGCACACCGAGGACATGGATCTCTACAGCATTAATTATCTCCACTTCGGAGAGCCCAAGTCTTGGCAAGTTGCATGTTTAATATTCATCTGCTTTGGAATTGAGATCTGAGCAATAGGAACCCATTGAAGATGGTTTTTTCCCCCCTTTATCTGGCAGATTCAGATTTATATGAGCTGTAAGAAAGTTCTTGACTGTAACAATTAATTATTGCAGAGGCTTCCACTCTGCCTAGGGTTTTGCTCAAAACCATAAAGCTAATGGTGATTTGTATATCTAAATTTTGCCTGCAGACCATTTTGTGGGTCATGGATTGATAGGTATTTTAGTCTCAAAGAATATGGCATCTTGAACTTCTCTGAGAATTTGCTGGAAGGTATGGGGGATCTAAGTTAGGAGTGAAAATTCACTTCCTGGATGTACCTGGTGCTTTTCTGGTCTAATCTCTGAATAAATGACAGATTCCATTCAGTATGTGGTGAGTAGAGGGATAGGAGGGGTGAATCAGGAGGCCTGTTACTACCTTTCCGGTGACGGATATGGGGAGAAGAATAAGAATGTGAATGTGTGTTCTGAACTTGCAATTACCTGTGTCATCTTTCTGAGCAACGATTTTAAGATTTATTTTTCTGTAGAATGCATCATATGGTACCCAGCACACATTTGTGATTGTTAGTCTGTTAGTCATCCTGGAGTTCTTTGTGGTCAGCCAGTTTCATGTTTGAACTTGTTTTTGTCGGTTTTAGTCTTGGGAAGGGCTTTCCAGGTGGCGCAGTGGGAAAGAATCCACCTGCCAATGCAGGAGACACGGGTTCAATCCCTGGGTTAGGAAGATCCCCTGGAGAAGGAAATGGCAACCCACTCAAGTATTCTTGCTTGGAAAATCACATGGACAGAGGAACCTGGAGGGCTATGTTTTGTGGAGTCACAAGGGTCAGACACGCCTGAGTAACTGAGCACAGTCTTAGGAGAGCTTAAATATCAGTTCTATTTTTTTTATAATACACATATGTGGAGAATAATTCACAGACAAAATCATATGAAGTATCAACTTGACAAGCCAGGAAATACTGAATATGCTCTTTCTGCTGGTTGTGAACATGATAGGATGCTCTTCGGGTGCTTGTGTCAGCCCAGTAGCTTTCTTGCCTCCAATTTAAAGGTAATGGCCTCTTTTCAAGTTCTCTTGCTGATCAGGTTTTGAGTCCAATCTGTAATTTCTGTCTGCATCTTGCTATTACTTGCCCTTGAGATTTCATCATTTGGTGAAGTGTGAAGTTGTAAGCTTTCTCCAGCAAATTCAAATACAGCAAAAGTTCATAATGATCAAAAATGACATTTAATCAGCAGGAAAGCTTTAGGTGGAAGGGCAAAGCTCTTAGGACCTAGAAAAGAAATCCAAGCATTTTCTGGTTTGCGATGGAGTTTTATGATCTGAGAAAAATTTAGTGAGAAGCTGTGTAACTCATTTTTAATAGTGTTTTACTTACACATTTTGTTTGGAAAATTTTTAGCATTCTACTCTCTTAATGGAATAAATAAAATGTAAACATTTTTAATAGGTGGTCTAGGAACTAGACTTTGACAGAATGGGATGGAAAGATGATTTCTTACACAAGTGTTTGTTGAGGACCAGCTTGTGAGCACATGCTCCAGCCCTGTTAGTCTTTCGTCCTTCTTCAGCACCATGGTAGAGTCTTTTGGAGTGTCATCTTTCAGTACTTTTGGGAATCGTCTTTGAGAGACTCAGAGAAATATTTTAAACAATGTGTAGGCTCCTGGGAAGTTTCTTAGCTGCATAGTTATTCCCATGATCTTCCTGTTACTCACTTTTATTGTGAGTAAAATAGGCAAAATTAGTAAATTCAGCATCTTGGCAAAATCTATTACATAGACAACTATACACTTCCCTTAAGAAATCTGAAGTTAGGGGGTTCACTGGTGGTCCAGTGGTTAGGACTCTGTGCTTCCACTGCAGGGGGCACAGATTACGTCCCTGGTTAGGGAGCTAAGATCTTGCAGGCCTCATGGTATGGCCAAAAAAAAAACAACAAAAAACCCTGAAAAGTTAGTTGCAAAACTCTTCTGTAGATTTGGAGAAATTCATGACAATCATGACAATGCCTGGGACATTTTAGTATTGGAGGAGTTGAAATGAAGTCTCTGCTTTCTTATTATGAAAAGTGATTTTTTTTTCCCCTTCTTTTTTGGGCCAAGACTTCAGTTGTCTCCTAAAGATTGCTTGGGCTTCTTTGGGGGCTCAGATGATAAAGAATCTGCCTGCAATGCAGGAGATGCAGGTTTGCTCCCTGGGTTAGGAAGATCCCCTGGAGAAGGAAATGGTGACCCACTTCAGTATTCTTGCCTGGGAAATTCCATGGATAGAGGAGTCTGGTGGGTTATAGTGCATGGGGTAGCAAAGAGTTGGACACAATGGTGATTAAACAATAACAAAGATTTCTTAGAGGAGAATATTCTGTTAGGGATATGACTGATTCTAGAGTCTTACGTCTTTGGAAGAAGGCCATGCTGTTCATGAGTGAGAATAAGTACACTAGATTCCAAAGTATTTCTTTCTCTCAGAGTATCTCTTTCTCTCTAAATATAGAAAATGTATTTTCTGTATTTAGTTATTCTATTCGTTTTCAAGCATATAGACTCCATTATATGCATTAAGAATAGATTTATACTATCACTATTATTTTTAACCTTGGTCATTATTTATAATGGTGAAATAATAAAACATAGCAGTGACTTACGGCAGTTAATCTACATTCCATTTTCTAAGATAGCTACTGTAGGAAAAGAGCAATATAAATGACTCTAAGGCTATTCCCCAGTAGGCTTATGAATGATTATATTAGCTTGGCATAAATAATTTTGAGTTAAACTTTATTATCATAAAGTTTCCCTGGTGGCTCAAATGGTAAAGAGTCTGCTTACAATGCAGGAGACCCAGGTTCGGTCCCTGGGTTGGGAAGATCCCCTGGAGAAGGAAATGGCAACCCGCTCCAGTATCCTTGCCTGGAGAATTCTATGGACAAAGGAGCCTGGTGTGTTACAGTCCACGGGGTCGCAAAGAGTAGGACACAGTTGAGCTGCTAACACTTTCATTTTTCTTATTACTAACGTTCACCTCAGTAACCATCATAATATATTTGAGTCAGCTTTGAAAGGTGGTAGAAGCATACAAATTCATGTAAATATGGGGAAGTGGGCAGTTGCGTGGCAGACTCAGACTCAAGCAGCAGCAGACAGGACTCTAGTCCTCACTCTGCTACTGATGTGTGATGTGTGTGGCTTTGGGCACAGAGCTGTACTTCTGTGGACCTCACCTACAAAATGACAAGGCTAATCAGGATGCACTCCAGTGCTCTTAATTCTGTAATTTGTGATGAAAAGCACATGGGTATTTTTACCCAATGTACAAAACGAGAGGATGCCGAGGTGACATGCAGTTGGGGTGTGTGTGCGCACATGTGCGCACATGCCTGTGCCCTCGCTGGTTTCCTTGTCTGGTGTCCTCGGCTTGTTGAGTGCCTTTAATCTCCTCCAGGGGTGCCCTCTTCATGCCTGACATCTCTGCTCCCGGCAGTGTGTCTTCCTCCTGTCTGATCTCATTGTCTGGTGTTCAGTTTCAGTGACCTTCTCGTCTTCAGTTTTCTCCTTAGACACCAAGTTCTGGTTACAAGTATTACAAAGACTGCCTAAAATTCTCTCCTTACTTCCTTGACTATGCTTGCTACTCTTCTTTGCCTTTGTGTTCCTTAGATTTTGCCTCAAGGCTTTCTGGACCATGTGTTGCCCCACCTTAGACTTCTGTCTTTGTACCTTTCAGGTGCTTGTGACCACTTCTGCTGCCCCTTTCCAGTGTCTGCTTTGAAGTTTTGGGGCTATGTTTTTTCCTTTGAAATTGTCAGAACTTAACACAGGATCTGCCTAGAGGCTTGATGCTTTGTTAAGTAATTCTCATTTTGAATCAGTTCAGTTCAGTCGCTCAGTCGTGTCTGACTCTCTGCAACCCCATGAACCGCAGCACACCAGGCCTCCCTGTCCATCATCAACTCCCGGAGTCCACCCAAACCCATGTCCATCGCGTCGATGATGCCATCCAACCATTTCATCCTCTGTCGTCCCCTTCTCCTCCTGCCCTCAACCTTTCCCAGCATCAGGGTCTTTTCCAATGAGTCAACTCTTCGCATCAGGTGGCCAAAGTATTGGAGTTTCAGCTTCAGCATCAGTCGTTCCAATGAACACCCAGGACTGATCTCCTTTAGGATGGACTGGTTGGATCTCCTTGCTGTCCAAGGGACTCTCAAGAGTCTTCTCCAACACCACAGTTCAAAAGCATCAGTTCTTAGGCACTCAGCTTTCTTTATAGTCAGGAGAGTATTAAATTGTTTTGGATCAGTCTGTTCAGGAGCAGACAGGATAATATTATGTAAAATGTTTTATAAAGATTCTTGACTCCAATGTAATTATTAAGAACACCAAGCTTTCAGAGATTTCTGAGTAGCTGCTCATAGGCCTAGCTCCAGGTAGAAGCCGTGAGACATGGTTTTCTGGGTATAACATGTAGCAGATTTTGCCGAGTAAGTGTTCATGAACACAGGTATGTACTGAAGAGACTTTAGAGGAGCTAATGATTTATTTAAACATTTCTAGCATGAAGGTTTAAGGAAAAAGAGAAAGCTTAAAGTAGGCAGATAAAAAACTGCTATGGCAGTCAGTGGTAGCGTATTTATTTTTTTGGAATTAATATTGACTTTGGAGCCAGAAGACTTGTTTTAAAAATCCCAGTCTGTCACTTGCTAGCTGAATGACTTAGGGCAAATCACTATACTCCATTCATCATGAATTTCTCTAACTGCCAAACAGAGGTGTGATTTATTCTCTATCTTAATAGGATTGCTTAGAGGGTCCTGGGAAATACTGTGTATCAAGGTGTCTTATAAATTGTAAAAGAACTATTCAAATATTAGTAGTTACTATTGTCTTAATAACTTTATAAAAATAGGTAATTTTTTGGTCATAGTAATTACTTAGAGCCTGAACTTGGCATGAT